ATGGATATAGAATTTTTTAAATATTTTATAATTTATACTAATATAATTTATACGTGTATTATTAAAATTCATGCAAATACGTATTCTTTGTGATATAATATACTAGTTATATGTTTCGTATATTCAAATAATTACCTTTTAATGTAGTTGAATGAAAATAAATTATAAGGGCTCAAAAATCCTATATAATTAAAATTTAATCTTTGATTTATAAGGTAATTTAAAAATAATAATATAAAAATTTATCTACTAAAATATATTCACATAATTAATGTAAGATACTCTTATGGAATCATAACTTCATAAATAAGTTATTTACTGCTAATTTTTATTGCAACATTAATCGTACCGTGTAATCTTCTTCTAGTGTTTATATTTTCTAATATTCTGTACAATATTTTTTTACAGTATTAATCAGGTTGAGTAAGACATTTTATGCGCCAAATCGTTCGGAAATTTGAAATGATTTCATAATTTGTAATTTTGTCCTCATTTTATTTATTATTTCTCATACTTAAGAGCCACTGTGAGTTATTAAAATTATTATACATTTCATTACAATATTCATGAAAATATGACTTAATTTATTTATTTTTATTTTTTTCATCATAAAAATCATATGAAGGATGTTACGATTTGTGGAATAAGAACACTGGTCGATGAATTATTTTAGTTATTTAACAAATTGGTTAAATACTACCGAACCGTAGAGTAAAGTACGTCGCTACTCAAATACATAATAAATTTTAAAATAATAATATTATAAATCAGTGGACTAAATTTGTTTCTAGGCTGTAAAGAATGAGAAAGTGAGACGAAGATCTAAAAGAAGAAGAAGAAGAAGAAGAAGAAGAAGAAGAAGAAGAAGAAGAAGAAGAAGAAGAAGAAGAAGAAGAAGAAGAAGAAGAAGAAGAAGAAGAAGAAGAAGAAGAAGAAGAAGATGATGATGAAGAAGATGAAGAAGAGGATGAAGAAGAAGAAGAAGTAGAAGAAGAAGAAGAGAAAGAGAGAGAATGTGAATGCAAAGTGATTGGCGACAACGCCCCATAACTAATTATATTGCGTATAAATTAAAAAATGATTTTAAGTGATGTGATCTTGCGACGCAATCCGCGAATGGCTAATTAGAAATTAATAGTTATTTTGAATGTTACATTTTATAATAAAGATAAAGTTATCACTTTTTATTACGGTAGTTAAATCTAAGTTTAAAATCATATTAAAGGCTACACTGTCCAGGGGTCCGGTTTACAACTATCCAGACCCTGGGAACTCGTTCGCACCCCACTTTAACCGTCTGAGGGAATGTGGATACTATCTTACCATATTCGCAATTGACCATCTTTTTAGTAACCGGATGCTACATTATCATATTTGCAATCGTTGTACTGTCTGGTTTCGCCGGTTAATATAGATTTAGCTATTCAACGCATTACACATTTTACTTTAGGTCTGCCATTAAAATGTATCTGACAGGAAATGCAATAAGCAAATTCCTTTCTATACTAATTTAGTTTTGTAATAAATATTATTTTTATTATTTACATAAATACATACTTATTTTTGGGCATTATTTAAAGTCGTGGTGAAAAAGTTAATGATGTTGTTCAGCTAAGACATTACTATAAACTGAATTATACAGTCACGTATCGTTAAACTAAGTAATAATGTGGACTTACTTATCTTTTGTCAAAAGAAAATTTATTAATGATAGCGCAGTAAATGTAAAACTTAAATAGAAATATTTATTTAATAGATGATATTCATTTTTAAGACATCAAGACTTTAAGATATCTTCAAGTAATTGCGAATCCTTTACTCGTGTGTGTAAATCCGTCGATGAATTGACATTTAAAATTAAGGATACAAAATTTGAATAATATAAGATTAAGGGCTAAGAAATTTTTGTTTTAAAAGTGTTAGGAATTACGAGAAACTATTTAAGTAGATAAAACATGTCCGTGGATGAAAGAAATAATAATCATAATAAAATACTAGGAAATAAAAATCATTTAAACATATATATTAATTTAGACATTTTATATTGCATTATTGGATAATAATCAATATATATATATATATATATATATATATATTTTTTTTTTTAATTATTATTATTATTATTTATTTATGTATAACCGTATATTTAGAATTAATGTTTGTTATTTATTGAAAATGAAGAGTAAAAATTCATTATATGCACTTTTCAAAAATGTCTGTGCGAGTAAATTGTAGGGATGAATAATTGCGGTAACTGTATATGTAATGTGAACGATTAATTAGAAAATTCAAAATAGAAAATTTTGAATAATAATCTACAATCTAAAATAATACTTTCATTTTACATTAATTCTTTTTTGAAAAATATTTTAATTTTAAATATTAAACACTATAATTAGCACTATAATAACACTATATTCAATTTAAAAATGTCTAATTAATTTGTTCACATTATATCATAATAATAAAGTTATTATTCTAGTTTTTCTTTGCTTTAAACTAATTCTATTTGAATGCAATGCCAAATAAGCAATATTTTGATGAACTACAATCATCCTCAAATATAAATATAAATAGCTAAAAGATTAACCAGTTTCATATGAAAGAAAAAGTAAATCTTAAATAAAATAGAAATCAGCAAAAAGTTTACGACTTGAAATAAACCTTAATTTTACTTTATTTTACATAGAAATACGAAATTCTTAAAATATACAAATAGTGAGTAGTAGTAGTAGTAGTATTAGATTCTGACTTGTCTTAAAATACACTATGACTCCCCATATATTGAAAATGTTTGCCTATTTTTTGTTGATATGAATCACGGCTTTTTATCATAGTGTATGTGTAAAGCTTACGTCATTTTGCATATATAATAGAATTGCTAATTAATATTCACATGTGCACGTTTGCGCGCGCGTGTGTATATATATATATATATATATATATATATATATATATATTCTAGATACCTGTAATAATATATAGATAATGCAATTACTTATTGAATACATGTATTTTATTTTAAAAATCTATTATACATAGATTTGAAAGGAATATCATAAGAATTAAATTGAGTTTAATACATGAGAATTTTTCTCATGTAAAAAAAAGTTTGGTTAAATTAACTTTTGCTTATATCAATGCCAGACTTCGCTTGTATCATTCTTACGTTATCTCGGTGTGCGTTCGATATTCTTAATACTATTTCATCATAAGGGTTCTTTTAATTTACATAGATAAGTGCATCGATTTAATAATACATTAATGTAACAGCTCTCTAATCGAAATCGTTTAATTTATTTTAATTGCTATTTTTAATTTAACTTAATAAAATTTATAAATATAAAAATTTTACTATAAGTTATATTTATATATAACTTCTTTATAAATGATAATATATGTGCACGTATTGTACACGAGTGTCCTTACATTTTTTAAACTTGTATCATAGTATTTTTCATATTATAAATATAAAGAATTTTATGGAATTAGTTGTTATGTCAAAATTGTTAATGTTTATTTACGTACGCACCCAATGCGCGCAGCCACACGCTCAAACGAGCAACTTTATAAGATTTACGCGCATTTGAATATGAATTGTTTTTATTAAACTTATTAAATTTTATTATATTAAAAGTTTGGCTAGTTCATAACAATGAAGAATGATATTAATTTTTATAGTTAAAACAAGGAACGACCTCTTTTAGATATATCCAAGCTATCTTAAATAACAAATTATGAACTATAATATCCCATTCAAAGCACAATAATATTATTCGAATTGTATACAAAAAATGAAACTACATCGTTTGAAATTACTTGGTATTACTTGTTAAATTTCGAAGCTTGAAACGGGGTGGATAAATAACTTGCGCGAACGAAAGAAATCATTTATAGGTAGATAATGCGTGTAATTGGATGGATAAGATCGGAGAGAAGATAATTTTGAAAGAGATCGAATACCAAGTATTCGGCTATAAATTTTTAGATACGTCCAGAAAATGTGCTTCATTTGTAGAAAATAGTGCAAACTAACGTGCAGGCTGTGTGTGCGCGCGCGCGCGCGCGCGCTCGAGAGGGAGACTGTATAAGGCGGCCGAACGCCGAGTGAGGAGGTTTGGAAAGGTTTTTGAAACGATGTATAACCGGTTATACACTTGTGTAACCGTAGCATATAAATATTTCATTTCATTAGATAGTGCACTCTACTATTTGTAGTCTAGCGCATCTCAATCGTGAATTTGCCTTGCTTAAGCGTATAAATGTTACAAGCGTTGCGCGAAAGCGTGAGTTCGTATGATTAATAAAGGAACGGCAGATGTGTGCGAGTGTTGCAAGCGGCATAGGATCTAGCGAGTGGAATGTCCGACCCTCTGATAATTATGAAAAATTAGCAGCGAAGGAGAGATGTGTAGCGTGAAGCGGCTCTCGCGCATCCAATTATCGTGGAATAAAATTGAAAAAGAGAGGATAAATAATAGGAACGGGTACGACGTGTCTCATGAACGCGAGTAAACCCGCATCCAGAGAACTTCGAACTCGACATGCGAACTGTCGAGCGGTATCCCGCGCTTCGTCCTAGACTCCGAGCGACCGTCGCGGTCGTGCTGCGGCATCGGCGTCCCGGGCGGGGAGCGGGGCACCAATTGCAAACGTCCAGCGGCGCTCTTTCGGCTCCCCTATCTCATGTTTCCAACGGCAGCGGCAGCAGCGGTAATGGTGGCGGTGTTGGTGTTGGTGTTGGTGTCGGTGGTAGCGGCGGTGATAGCGGTGGTGGTAGCGGCGGTGGTAGTGTCGGTGGTAGTAGCGGCGGTAGAGTCGTAATAGTGGTAGCGGCGGTTGTAGTGGTAGTGGTAGAGATAGTGGTTGTTGTAGTTGTAGTGGTAGCGGTAGCGGTAGTGGTAGTGATGGTGACGGTGACGGTGACGGTGGCGGTGGCGGCGGCGACGGCGGCGACGGCGACAGCGGCGGTAACGGCGGCAGCGGCGGCGGCAACTGCGACTGCGGCGATCCCGTGCAGCAGCAGCAGCACTGGAGCGAGGAGTCAGTTCTCAGTGCCGACTGTCAGTGTTGGATGGTATTGACTCGGTTCGGGTCCCGATAATCCCGTGATTCGACATCCGACCGTCCAAGCGGAAGGATCCACTGCCGATCGATCGAGCTTAGCGTGCGCGCGCCCTGGCGCCATGTGCGACTACAGGCAACTCGACACCGCCAATATTGTGAGGAATTTCGACAACGAGGAGGTGAAGCAACTGCTCAAGAGCATCGGACCCGTCCGAAGAAAGCTTGTGCTTAAAAAGGTGTCCGTTTACCACTAATCGCCATCCTTGTTACATTTTCTTAGCTTCTTCCCCGTTGCTAAAACGATATAGCGGACAGCGCAGCCAAGTCTCGGCTCTTCTTTGCTCCCCCGCTCCTATTCATTTATCAACACATGAACAAATAATGTTATCGCAATAAACAATGTCTGTATAGAATTGTGACGTATTTGTAACAATGGCTATTCTTTAGGGGATTTTATCGAACACTCTGGTCGATGCCCTGTTACTATTACTTTCATTATAAGATGATCGAACGATTTCAGCCAAGTACACGAATTTCATCGAGGTTGTGGCTTTTTCACATATAAGCAGCCTCATCTCCTCGACGAACCATCAAACCATCATTATCATTACGATGATTTCATATAATAATAATGATGATGCCCATTATTATTTATAAACGTTTATTCTCCAACCGTTGATCGAAGATCAAAATACATTTTTCAATTAAGATTTCCTTAAATATTTATTATACCTCGTAGAGTTAGGATAGCTGCTTTTTATTTTGTAATTTAAATTTTTAATCGTATGTGAAATATCATCAAAATGTATTAAAAATTTTCTAGTTTACGAATCGAAATCAACATTATTTTACTCTAGCATTTCAGATTTCATATATATATATATTATATATATATATATATATATATATATCTCAGCCATATATATTCCGTGATGTATTCAGTGATACGCGATAAGGATAATAATTTTATTTGTAATTCTGGGATATATTTTTGATGATTTTTGAGTGATTTGTAAGGAAAAAGAGTATCGCCCTTAATAAGAGAATGAAAATGAAAATGTTTTATCTGCTTATTTAAAGGCTTTTAATACTTAAATCACTAAATAACATTTAAGCAGTCCACTTATCAACCAAACATTATGAACGAAGACTCATGATTTGATTTTACTCAGACTTTGTATTTTACATATACAGAATAAAAATTAATTATATAATTGAATTTAAGATTACGGTAGCGATGTTTTTATCGAATTGCATTCATAAATTTTTTAATAAAATACATGAAATGTATTTTAACAAATTTTCATTAAAACTTGTATCGACATCATATTCAGGATTAAAAACTGAAAATTAATTTTGAATTATAATGAAAGAAAAATTCCAAAATACCTCGTTTTATTGTTGAAAAGTATAACAAAAAATGTAAAAGCGTTGAAAATTTCCTGCTTATCAATTATTTGTTAAATAACAAAGTTATTTAATTTTATTTTAAAAGTACGTATCAATCGATGTAACGTAAGACTTGTTAATTACTTATTTTTCATTAGGCTTTTTGAATTTTTGAAAAATGTGTAATTAAACATTACATATTATTCGTAGAATTGTACGTTATAGAGTACAATTCACTCGTATATAAATTTCATTACTAACATTACAAATATTAATGATAACGCATAATTATAAATTTTATTATATATTTCGATAAAATTTACATTATTTTTATTAACTTTGTCGAAATTATATGAATTAATTATAATTATTTATTAATGGCATAAGAACGATTTATCTTTCAATTTTTTTTTTACAGGAATAGTGGAGTTTTTTTTTTTCTAGGAATAGTGGAGTTGTTTTAAGAGAGCATCGTAATATAATATTTTATTAATCAATTAATATCTTTCGTTGATATACATTGAGCTTGATGTTTAATGAAATGAAGCCTAAACAAAAATTCAACGAACAACAAAACAAAACTCTTTATCGTAAACATAATAAATTCCTTGTTATTTAAGGGAATAATAAATATATCGAAAAATATCTTTAAATTATTGTAAATATTATCGCTTTCTAACAACTCCATGTAAACTTTCAACATTTGATGTAGGATTGCAAATTAACTTAATTAAATTTTCCATCAAATAATTTTCACTTGTACAATTAATGTAAGTGACACAAAATTCTACATGTCGTTAAAAATTTATTTTAAAAGCTGTTTTTAAAAATAAAATGTTGTTGGGTATTGAGTATTACATACATATGCTCATAGCATGGGTCCTTTATGTAGAAGTAGCTTGCTATAAAGATTTAAGTAAAATTTCTACCTGCATCATTGTGGCCCATATGCGAATATTTATTTTACTCAATTTCAAATCCTTTCGAACAATTGTGATAACCATAAGGAGAGATCTTGACAGGTATTCTTTTCTTCAACATATTGGTTTTATAGTAGGTTTACGTGTTAAGTGGCGGATGCTCCAGGATTATTACACATAATCTTTATTATTTTATGATTGGATTAAATGTTTATTATTATATTGTACCTTTCTGGGGTTACTTTATATACCCAATAATATAAAATCGAGAAAGAGAGAGCGAGAATGGCAGAGAGAAAGCGTGCGAATATGTGTAAGTCTGGTCGTCAGCTATAACAAAGTTGTTGGCTACTAAAATTCTTAGTCTTGCCAGCATTACAATGGATTAAATATTTATGGAAAAATCAGCTCATAATAATATGGTGAAATACGTATTGTTAAAATAAAAAATAGAATTATGGTGTGTAGCTTTAGTTTGAAAGCGAAGGAATAAAACCTAGTCCAATCAGATCAACATTTTACATATTTGTATTTTTTACCTTTATTTTTTATTGTGAAAATATTAAGTAACATCAATAACAGCCAAAATGTAATCTAAGACTAAACATATATGCATTATATCAATAGACTGTCTATATTAAATTAATACTTTGATGATTGGAATGATATGACATGCAACGTTAGTTTTTCAGCTGTAATTTGCGGATTAAATCATAATAATTTAAAAAGTATATTTATGCGAGTGTATGTACTTTTTTTATATATTCGTTCTTGCGGATGCTCACACGAACGATATCATGCTAAAAATTCAAGAATTATGAAGATTAAACAATAAAAAAAAGAAAGATAACATTTTTGCAGCATTATGTATTCATATTGTGTATTTAACTATAATTGCTTATGAAAGAATTGAACCTATGTAGTGAAAACTAAAATACGCAGTCGTCATTACAAAAGTTACTACAAGTAGATTTTCAATTAATAAAAGTTGACATAACCTGTCGATTAATCATTAATTAATCAAATCGAAATTCATTAGTTTTGTTGCCTATCGAGTAAAGCACTAATCATTATTAAAAAAAAAAAAACTTATTAAGAAAGTACTGAACAAAGTTTGCGAACAAAAGATCTTTTAAATATATATATATATATATATATATATATATATATATACACATATACATATACATTTAGTTGATTATACAGGAAGTGATTTACACGTTTTAGTTGATTATACAGGAAGTGATTTACACGTTATAAGTTTAAAGTAGAATATTTCACCACCATGCTGAACGCAATAATGTCATTGAAATAGTGACTATTTGATTGTTTTTATTAGTTTCTTTTTTACACTTAGCCTTGCTAGGGTTTAAATACTTGATTCGTGCTGATCATTTATGAAGGTAACAAAAATAGATTTAATGAGAAAATCGCGTGCGGTAACTAATGTTATTTATTGTTGCCGTGTGAAGCTTTATGAGTCTGATTCAAGAAAATTAGAGAATATTCTGAATAAATCAAAATTCTTTTATATTATGTGTATTTCGTTACTTCACATTATGTTTTTATTTTTTTGTCTTTCAAAACCATATTATGTTATTACAATTAACTTTCCGTATGAAAAATTTTACTTCCGTAACAAAATGTCTTTTTTCTTTAAATTGTAATAAATACAAATTATTAAAGGATTTAAATAAAATGAAATATTAACCATTAGGAAATGTGTAAACCTTTTTAACGACAATATTCAGTATAAATCATATGACTATATGATTACGGATGAGAATATTTTTTTTAAAAAAAGACAATTTATAAACATTATAAAATATACTTTGAATGTGCATTATTTTAAAAGGAAACAATAATATGATTATACAATTTTTTAATAACAATGCAACTTCATAGATTGTTATCAATTCAATATGCTTCAACAGAACTTTAAAATGTCATAAATCCAACGATCTAAAAAGTTCGTAAAAAAATGTTACTGCCAAACGTTATCCAACTGCTTTTAAAGACTTCATATCTAAGCATTTATGCATAAGGATTTGATAATATAAAAAGATTAATAAAAGCGCGCACCCCCCCCCCCCCGGCCCCCCCTGGGAAACACCATTTCTTCTCGGAAAGATGAAGGGAGCAATTGCCCCTTCTCGAAAAATAAGGGGAGAAGTTTTTGCTTCTCAGAAAATAGACATTTTATTAGCGTGAGAAAGTAGATTGTTTCCTTATGAAACTCAGAGCTGACATCTTGTTACTAATTCCAGTTTTGCAAATAAATATTACATAAATAGATATTTAAATTTTTTTAATAATTAATAGCAATATATAATAGTGTAGAAGCGTATAATGTGAACACGGAAATTGAATAAAATCTTCGATAATTGAATAATTTTGGGCAAATTTTCTTAAGCTGTAAATTCTAGAAATACCATTTAATCAATATGTAATTATCTTACACGGGTGTTAATATTTTTGTGCAAATTTGCTTCCTACACTTGCGTTTTATTGTCAGTTAAATCTCTAATTCAAAATAATATTTATTTTAATTTCTTTTTTAAATTTTAATAATAATATTTTAATATTTCAATTAGTTTAAATTTATATCATCACGTTTTGTGCAAGTCAAAAGCAAAAAAAAAAAAATCCGCCCAGATATTTGGGAAAATTTACGTTTAATTGTCATTTCATTTAAGAAATAAAGGTTTAAATTATTGAGATAATGAAATATACTAATTATGTTACAGATTAAAAAATATTTAAGAAATATTGGACTTGGTAAGGAGAATGTAAGAAAAGGAATTATCCAGATAATGACAAGACCACAAATCGTAATTGCGAAGACACAAACGTAAGTTAGATCTCTTAAATAGTTTTTTTTTTTTTATAAATTTCTGATATATTTGTCGCTACATAAAGAAAATCACACACGTACAGAGGCGCGCGCACGCGCGCACACACACACACACACACACACGTATATCATAATAAATTTGTATTATACAATAGACGGTTAAAATATTTATGACATGGGTAACAAGTGTTGTATGTTTGTTTCACAGACAAAAAGAATTATTGATTAAGGCATTAATTAATTAAACTTCTTGCCTTTTCTTAGTAGATCTTAAAATAGATACAAAAAATATAGAAAGTACAGAAGATGATTGTGTGATATGTATGGTGAAAGAGTTCTAAAATTACAATCCTGGCATTTCTTTTATTACTGTTATATGTTCTTATTAATTCACTTATGCAATGAATCTCTCACTTTTTTACACACTACTCTTTATAAATGCAATAAATCTAAAAAAAAACTGTCTGCCGGTCGGTTTTTACGATCCAGTAGAACTAATTACTCGTTAGCTAGCAAAAAATATATTGTACAAATCTTTTTTGAATTAGTAAAGCAAAAATATTTTTAATTTACTAAATAAATTATATTGTATCTGCCTAATTTAAATTACCTTTTCGTTTTTATAAATAATTTATATTGTACCAATTGTAAAATATGGATAACTTAATTTCTAGATGAAAAGATTGAAAATTTAAATACAAAAACATTTTGTTATTAAATCAAATATAGATTTTAGTAAATACTTCATTTATACTAACTATCTAAATTAAGTATTTTAGCTGAAAGATGAAGAATCTTTGTAGTGAAAAATTACTGTTTGTATCAAAAAATGGAAACATCTGCTAGTTGTATAAAATTTTTGAAATTTCAGTTAATTCAATACTCGACATAATCATCAATAGTTTCTAGACACTTAATACGTACATTTAGTTTTTAAGACAAACATTAACATACATTTATAAAATTCAATATTTGATAAATATTTTGAAATTTTGCAATTGTAAAGAATATTTATTATTATTAAAATTCTACCATAATTTTATCACTCTTACAAGCATTTTTTTATTTTAAGATAATTTATTATTTCATTTATTATCAAATCAGCATAATAATATAAAAAAATCAATTTAAATTATTAAATGAATTAATAAGTCATGATTCTAAATTGTAAATATATTTGCTTTAATTATTTTTTAATTGAATGTTTCTATTAATAAATAATTATTGGAGAGTTTCGTTAAAAAAAAAAAAAAAAAAAAAACTTCAGTATACAATGGACAGTAGCGCTATTTTTTGCCGATTTGACAAATGAAATATACTTTAAAGAAAACTGAAACAGGAAACTGAAATTAGAAGTCACAACTGTTTGTTAGAAAAAATATGACGAGCATGTTTATTCAAAGAAATGATGAACAATTTTATTATTTAGTAAAATAATAAAAGATATTTTACCTTTATATCTACAAGATAATATGAGATATTAATTCTTTTTTCTAATTTATAAACATAATTATATATAAACATGAATATAAAAATGCATAATTTTTATTGTTATTTGATTTTTACATAAAAAAAAAATAAAAAGAGCTTATTTAAATTTTATTAAAAACTATTTTTAAAGCCTACATAATTATTAACTGCAATTAAATTAACTACTGTTAAAAATAATTATTCCACATTGAAAACTTAATTAGGTAAATTAATAATACTAAAAACATTAATAAGATAGAAAGTTGTAAAATATACAAAAATAATTTTATTTATTAAATTAAAAAAAGAATAGCAATATTAATAAAAAAAAGTTTGTGTAAAATTCAATAGTAATGTTTTAATCACTAATTATGAAATATCTAGACCGTAATGACAATAGAGCAATAAATTTAAAAATTAAAATGAATGTAAATAAAAACGAAAAAAAAAAAAACGGTTAAATTAACATTATGAATTAAAAGAAACAAAACATACCTTTGTGATTATGTAACGATACGATCTTTCATAATCTAAGGCATTGTTAGACAAGGAGTGCAAATAATAATGGCCGTTTGTTCGAAAGATCAAGGGTACTATAACATTTTTTCAGCATTGAAATGAAAGTAAATAGCTTAAACTTTTATACACAATGATACCTTTGTACTAAATATAGGATTTCATAAACATTTCTTCAAAAATTTGACTCACATTATGCCGTATCTTATATTACATATATAATATTCCTGAAAACTATCTCAAGTTAAGAAAAAAAATTAATAACAGATAGGAATCAAATTTTTTGAAAATATGAAGATGATGCAGTCATTTATATTGCAAATCATTCGACTAATATTTATTCTTTAATCTCGAATGGTTCAATGGTGCAATATAAGACTATCTTTTGACTGTGCTTCCTTTCTCTTGGTAGTCCACGAATATTATGTTAAACAATACTGGACAGAGACCTTCCCAAACGATTGTTCATCCTTCTTTTCTTTAGGTGCTTTTCACCTCGTTCTAGCCTACTATGATCGCCGGTTGGATGAACTCGGCTGATGGATGCATTGTTACTGATGCCATATAGTGATGACTTCTGGAAACTTTTTACTTCGTTTAGCAAACATACACATGGACGCGCACGGACATTCATATATAAACATATATATATATATATATATATATATATATATATATGTATATATAACTTTCTACGTACAATATTTAATAGCGAATATATGTTTAAGCATGCACAAGCACTTGGGTGAGATTAGTATAATGTTAATAAGAGTAGAAATAAGTTTGAGATTATTTTTATGTGGTTCTAAGGCTTATTTGATATTCTTAGAAAACATAAAGGGACGGATTAATTTAGGATATAATGCTTTACTGTAATAATTACTACTGTCTTTTTATTTTATGTATTTTTTTTTCTTGTTACTCTGTTCAAAAAATTTTGAATAAGTTGACGACGTTACACGTTCTCACATTGACGCTATTTATAATACATTAATTACGTGGATAAAACACGAACGTTTTAAAAATTTAAAGTACTTTGAATGAAAATAGTAAAAATTTATGTAAATTAAAAATACTTTTAGAATTGGTACTTTTAATAAAAACTATAGACTCAGTGATTTGTAACTTTATGATGAATTTATCTATTAAAATATGAAATACTTAAAATGTTAATTATTATTATTTCACAATATCATTACAATTAAAAAAATAATAATATTTTATTGTACTTTTAAAATCTCAGATAAAATACTTTTGAAAATTTAGAAAGCTTCATCCTTCTACGTGTTGCACTCATTTTCATTTAGCTTCAGTAAAAATTATAACTTTCTGAAATTTCTCTTTCTCTCTCTCTCTCTCTCTCTCTCTCTCTCTCTCACTCTCTTGTCCCCTTTTACAGTCGCTAACTCTCGAAATATTCAGATATTCATAAAGAGTGAGATGGGTGATTATAATGTGTTAAATTTTAAATTATGTAGGCGATGCTTTCATTTGCTTATCTTCGTCTGCACCTTTAGTTGACATTTCCGTAATAACGCATTTTAAACATACAGAAAAAAAGAATAATGCATATAGATAATTTTTGCAGCAAACAAAAGCAAAATTTATCCTCGTACTTTAACATGTAAGTCTTGATAACAAACGCCCAACTCGTCTGAAAATAAGCATGAAAGTTATAAAATATTGTAGGTCTTGTTATATGTCCAGTACATACACACACACACACACACACACACACACACACACACACACTTATATATATATATATGTGTGTGTGTGTGTGTGCGCGCGCGTGTGTGTCTGTGTGTCTGTGTGTACTAAATGTAGGATAAATTAAGTTTATCTTTCACAAAAGATATTATGGAATTATAAAAAAAAGCAACTAATTAATTACCAATTTGTCATAATCTATCAAATGTAATATGGTTCATTATTTTTATCCAATCTGAACTTAGCAGGGGCTCGAAAAAATTACAATAGCGTGACCCACACTCTTATATGAATCCTATATTTTGTGATAATTTTTTCAATTAATAAATAGTATTTATTAAATATTTAATTAATTAGTAAAGCATATAAATAATTTTAGTGATTGGTTAATAATCAATTTCAGTTTAAATTACGTAATCGTTAGTATTTAAGCTATTATTTGACATTGTTCGCGCACGTGTCTATTTTTTAATAAAATATTGTTGTTACATTTTATAATATTTCCTAAGTATTATGTGTTGGAAATAGTTTATATATGTATGAAGGCGAATAAATACTAATATTCGTATTAAATGAGTATATTTAATTACATAATTACATATGTATGAACGCATAATTCGAAGATTTCTTTCTTTTTTTCTTTTTTTTTTTTAAATAACTTTCTTACTTGAATTTGTTTTTATTTTCTATTGTATTTTCATTGATTCTGTGTTCAAGCGTAAATTCGTGCGTTCGTATTCCAATGCAATATTTCTATTATTTTTTTTTATTCGAAATGCGTGATGCTCATAAAAATAAAATTTATTATAAATATATATTATTTTTGTATAAACTCAGAAGATTTTGTATATAAATATTATGTATGTATAAAATAAGGTATAAAATCTAAAAACTTAAATCAAATCAAAATGTAATTAAATAATTTATTACAATAATTAATGGCATATTTTTCCCTAATATAGGTAAAAATTATTTATTTTATAGTTAAATGAAAATGAAATCTCTTTACATTTCCTTTATTTTCTATTAATATTGAGTTTTAATTTTTACGCATGGAATTTTTGAAATTTTTCTCTTACAATAACTTAAATTCAAATAAAAACTTACAAAATTGATCGTAAGAAAAAATTGCAAAAAGAAAAATAATTTTACAATGCAAAGAAAAATCTCGTAATAATAAATAAGTTAAAATCAAATGATTCAAATGATTTACGAAAAATATTAAGTTTTATGTCTATTATATAGAACTATGATATTGTTTAAATACAAGTATTAATTATTTATAATAAAAAAAAAATCTT